GTTCTCTTGTCTTCCATAGCTCTTCTCAGCCAGCAATTCCGAGAAAACGTGGCGCCGTGACCCTGTGACCTGCTGGCTCTGTGACGGCTCAGTGGTTGCCGGTGTCTGTGTCCCAGGGTTGCTCTTGGGCTCCCCATGACAGCCTATTTACCAGAAAAGCTCAGACAAGTTGATCAATGAGCTTAAAGGTGCTGATATTAGCACCTTGAATTGCTGTCTTGGCCAAACGTATTTCCCCTTTCCACTTTGCTCTAAGGTCACCTTAGGGCAGCTTCTGGAGTATTTCTGCATTGTCTGTCTGCACATCACAAAACAGCCCTTGAAAATAATTTCATGCCAGTGTACAATTACAATATATTACAAACTTCTAAATTTCCAGGGACTGCTTTTGCCTTTCTTGGGGCTGCTGCTTGGTGGATGCTTACAAGTAGTTACTGACATATTAGTGTGCCCAGCTCATTGATCCCCAGCCAGCAATATTTTCATGTCATCGTCCTTGTTGGTACTTTAGTCTTCAAAGTCATCCAGCTTCTGGGTTGTGATAGTTTCATCACTGTACAGAAAATCTTGCATCATCCTCAAGTGTTGTTCCCAGCCTCCTCTTGTCTGTGTCCAGGCAATCACTAGTGGTATAAACCATGAGAAGTCAAAGTCATGCCTGGAGGGGCTCAGCTCATAGAACCTCTCCAATCTGATGCTTCCCATCCACAGCTTGGTGCTGTGGTTGCCAGATGAGGGTCTCGTCAGCCCACTGAGGTCTCAAGAGAGGGAGAAGCCATGTCACTAGGCACAAAGTACCTGGCTGTGAGCAGCAGGTTCACCGGCATGTGTCAAAGCAAACTCAACACAAGCTACCAGTAGGCAAAGCTAGGATAAAGTGCTGTCTGTGAAGAACTTACATGGCTCCTGCCGAGGCTCTTGGGTCTGTGCCTGATTCCTGGCCACAGCAGCATGAGGATGCCCATCCTTCTCTCCACCTTGTCTCCACATCAGCCACCCTCATCTGCAGCTGCTCGCAGTCCCCTCCTTCCACGCAGTCACAGGTTTTATCAATCACCCCTGCCATGGACCATTGACGCTGACGTGGTATTTCCCCTGCCTCTGCAGTTCCCAGCCTGTCTCAGTCCTGTGAGTGCTGTCCCCGTGTGGCGCAGTGGAGGTGACACTTGTGCTGTGTCCCTGCTGGCAGCTCTGGGGCAGGGTATTCCAGGGCCCAGCAGCACTGCAGAGCACTGGCGCCTGTACAGGCTGCACTGGTGCCTGCAGTGAGCCCCAGAGAACCTTGCACTGACACCAGCATCCACTACATTGTGCCTGGAAAAGTGATTTTCTTAATGAAAGTAGCCAGTGGGACAAAATATTCCTGCAAGGTAAAGAACCACTGGTATGGCCTGCTGTCAGACAGATTGATGGGCTCCTGCCTCCTTTCCCCCCCTGCCAGGGAAAATCTCCACCTCCCCTGCATGCCTGTGTCCTGCTGGCTGCAGCTGCGGGAATGTCGGGGTGGGGCAGAGCCTCTGGTAGGGTGGGAGGGGTGCTGGTACCATCTCCACACACAGAGAGGGACGCAGGGCTCTGGGCTGCCCTGCAGTGCCTCTGCCCCACGGGGTTTCTTTCCTGCCGTTCTCACGGCCAGAAGGGATGGTGCAACAGCAGATCTTGACCAAAAGAGAACTGTAGAGTTGAGAGCAAGACATATCAGTCTTATTTTTAGCATGTCAAATGGCAGTTTGAGGCTAAGTGTAGCAATCCCACACAATGAACAGCCCTGGCTGTTGGGGCTGTTTCCCCTTTCCCCTTCCCCAGCACCGCACGGAATTGCCTGCAGCAGAAAATGCTGTCAGGGCTCCTGTGCTGCAACCCTCCCCACAGTCCTGCCTTTTGGGGCTGCCTAAAACCAGAGGTCAGACAAAAGTAAGGGAATAAAAAGCAGTTATATGTATTGAAGGGCCATAAGGTACATTTAGGGCAAATGAAGCCCCCCAGGCAGCTACACCCAAAAATAAATGATGGATCAAGGGGTTTCACACTTTTAAAAGTTTCGTCCATTTGCATATTGGGGGTTAATCTTCCAATTATAGCTTCAGGTAATGAAGGCATTTAGCCCAAGTTTGCTCCCCTCAACTCACTTTTGTTTACATTTCTTGGGGTCTAAGACAGTAAGGTGTCCTTGATTGCCAGACCTGGAGAGGAATTGTTGTCTGCCCAAAATGGGAAAGCAGCAGCTGATACTGTATATAGAGTTTAGGGGTATACACTGAAGAATTGCAGGATTACAAATACATGAAAAACACAAAAGCCAAAGTTCTAAGGCATCAGCAGCACCACGGACCGGCTGAGTATCTATGCCCACACACTGGAAAAGCCTGTGCTTCCCAAGAGCCTGATGCTGCTTCAGGGCTCGTGGAGCTCCCTGGTGGCTGACAGGCAGCGCTCATCCCTGGAAACGCTGTGCCAAGGAAACAAAATCAGAGATGCCTCCAGCACCTGAAAGCAGCACCCAGCCCACAGCTCCCCAGTATGTGTCCTCCAGCCCCCTGGAGCTCAAACCTCTGGTAAGAACTCAGGTTTCAGGCCTGCTGAAATGCCACCAAACAGCAAAATACTGTCTAATGCCAGCCACTGCCCTCCATGCATAGGAGGGCCAAAAATGCTTTCTCTGGTGGCTACTCACTCACTCACTCACTCACTCACATAAAAGCAAGAATTCTGAGTTACTTTGTAGGCTTTTCCTTGTGTTCTGTGCTGTCGGTTTTTTTTCGTTGTGTGGGGTTTTTCTTTTTTTTGTTTTTTTTTGGTTTTTTTTGTTTGTTTTTTTGTTTTTTTTTTTGTTTGTTTGTTTGTTTGTTTTTGTTTGTTTGGGGGGTTTTTGGGTTTTTTTTTTTTTTTTTTTGTGGGTTTTTTTTTTTTTTGTTTGTTTTTTTTTTTTTTTTTTTTTTTTTCCCTCACAAGCCTGAAGTGGAAACCATTATTAGCATTTTTTTCTTTTAAGGGACAGGAAAGTTACATCTTGCAGAAATGTTGGTAAAATGCAGTGGTTCAGCCTTGCTGTTTGGGGCAGCTGATGGACTCTGGCAGCTGTGGCTGGTCCCCACTATCATTTCCCAGACTCTTGTGCTAGGAAATGGAGAAGATTTGGGGTTAAGGGTGTCGCCATCCTCCTGGATTGCTATTGCAGTGCTGGATGCTGGCCAGTTTGTTGTGGCCCAGGGTCTGATAACTCCTCTGTTCCATTTACTGGGAGCACTCAGGGAGCTGAGGCTTTGTTCAGACTGAAGCAGGATGCCAGAAACCCATCCTAAACTTGACATATAAACCAGATAATAATTTTTGTCCAATGTAGAATATATAGCTTCAGATAATAAGAAAGTTCCTTGCTCATCTTTGGCTTTCACTGTTAAATACCCTGCTGAAAGGCAGATCTTATATCTCGGTAGCAAAGGCTTTTCTCCCAATCTCCACTACAGGTTTAGCATTAAGAGTAGAGGACTCTGATGTATAATGGTAATAAATGAATATTTATTTATAGATATATTACTATGACCTTTATTTGCACTTGCAAAAGTATAGATTTTTTGTTTGTTTGTTTTCATAGCATTCAGTGGAAACAGCAAAAAAATGATGACAGAGATTGTGAAGTCAACTAATTTCCTCTTTGCAATGAGAAAAAGAAACACTTATGAGATGTATATGTGAGGCCACATGTAGAAAAAGCATTGCTGTTCTATATTTGAGAGTAGATGACCTGTCTGAAACCCACTGGAAATTGAACAAGTTCTCCATGTTAACTGGGAGAAAACATGAGCATGACTGAATCCACAAAAAAAAGCAAGTTGTTTGCTTTCTGGATTAACAGTAGGTTAACAGGTTGATATGAATCTTCATCTCTTTTTTCAAAATAATAAAAAAAATCATAGTAATGTTTTTGGAACAGGCATTCATTATAAGCAATGAGATGCAAGGTCTCAGAAGGGAATCCTAGGTCCAAAAATGTTTTTGAAGGCCCTCTGTGCTGTTCCTAAAGTAGCAGTGTTTTTCCTTGCTGAACACCACTTGCCTGGATTGTAAGAGATGTCTGCCAAGAAGCCCCTTGCTTTCTGAGGGTAGTTAATTGCAGCATATTTGTTGATGGGTGACAACACTCACACATCTCCTTAAGCAATAGATGGTTGATAAGATCAGGCACTGTCTCCCATATCTTTTCCTGCCTTTGAAAAGATAATTTAGAAGGCAGAACGAGGACTAAACAGTGTGCAATGGTTAAACTGGTCACATACACACACAGGCTACTTGCTCTGCTTGCAGTGAAACACCAGTAATGCCAGAGCATTAGAAAACACACCAGGGAAGAAAACTGGGACATGAGTTATCTGCTGAATGACCTGAGTAGTTTCATCTGGTTTTATGGCACCGTTGCTCACTGCAGCTTCCGCCATGTTGTTGCCCAAGAATTGACACCAAGCAGGTGGATCTAATGGCTGGATGTGGGACACTTTCTCTGCCGGGAACAGTCCTTTGCGTGTTTATTGCACCAAGGTCTAGTCAGTGGTTTCAGACTGTGGTCTGAACCAGTGTCACTGCTGCGTGGTGACAGACTTGTAGGGGAACTTTATGTCAGTTGTCACTAAGGAAGTTAATTGCCTCTAAGTTTACGTCAGCAGAATACGAGCTTGCAGTCCCAAGAGGAAATTTTTTAGAGGTTTACAAGTCAGAAGACACTGAAAGTGAAGGACCATGAAGCCAACCAAGACAAGCTGTCACCAGGAGGTGCCTGGAGCTGCGATGCAATGATACAAGACAATAGTCAGAGCTGGAGTCAAGTCACTGAAGACAGCAGGACAAAATTCAAGTAAACATCAGACCCTTTGGAGGGGTTTGCCCCTTTTTGTCCATATGCCCATGCCTACAATGATTGCAAACACTGTATGTGGTTCCACTGCCTGTGCCTCAGAACTTGAGCATCTTTGTGGCACTCAACACCGCTGTGCACTACACCTTGTTCATAGAATCACTTGATCCGTGGGTGGCTGTGACTCCTCACTTTTGTTCATCTTGGACCTGATAAATATACACTTGGGGAACATAGAAGAAAACTCTGGAAATTCCTTGGCTGCAAAATAATAACAAAATGCATCCAGACAGCAGTTACAATTTGCTAAGCATGCAGAGACCTTAATATAGGTTACAACTCCTGGCATCAGAGAATGAGCTCCAGCAACTTCCACTGCAAACCGCAAGAGCAGTGAGATGTGGAAGGGTGAGAAACAGACAGCAAACACACACAAATTCACAGAAACTATCTGCACGGCCTTCTGGAATAATTTTGTCTCATGAGGGCATGTGGCCATCTTCTGTTTTAGACATCTGATGACTTGTACTGAGCAGAACATCACAATCCCTAAGGGAATAAAATACCCACAGATGCAGTAGACTAAAGAGGAATAGCTAGGTAGAAGAGATTGTTTCCAAAAGCAACAACCTTCCCAGCTACGGCGACGAATGTGATACAAACTGGAATAAGTTATCATTGCTGTCCAAAGAAAGCCACAGATAGAAGCTGATTTCAGTGGGGATCGAAGGATCTTTGCTTTTAGAGGGAACTTGATTGCAATGTATCGATCAATTGCAATCAGGGTGATGATAAAGATGCTCATAGGCATGTTTATAAAACAGATGTTTTGTACGGCTAAACACAGCTGGTCTATGGGATGTTTGTACTTGGTGAAATACAGCAGGAAAGGCAGGGTGAAGAGCAGGGAAGTGTCTGCCACGATGAGGTTGATCATGTACACCTTGGTCTCGGTCCACCTCTTGATTTTGCAGCAGAAGACCCAGAAGGCAATTGCGTTCAGTGGGATCCCCAGAGCGAGCACTGGGATGTACACAACCAGCTGAAGCACCACAATGCTACCATGGGCACCTCTCTCAGTGCAGTTCTCCATGTTGGGCTGTCTCTGCAAGGAAAGAGTGTAGGCATGAGACTGAGCTCACTGGCAATTCCTGCGGCTGTGTCCTCCTGTTATGGCCCTGCAGCTCCTCATGTCCCTGCACTGCTCATGTGGGCAGCCTCAAAAACCTGAACTGGTTTTTGTTCAGTCCACAAAATCTCTGGGACTGCCCTCTCTTGCTGCTGGTGCAGGGTTAAGCCTGCCTCACCATCCCTCCAGTCCTGGTACGAACAGTTTGGGTCACAGCAAAGCAGAATAATATTTTTTGTTTTTACCTTTGCCGCTTTTGCCGCAGTTGTCAGACCACTGGCTTTAGGACAGCCCACACCAGAGCTGGGCAACATTCCCCTTTTGCCCTGGGCAGCATTCCCCATTTGCCCTGGGCAGAATTCCCCATTTTTCCTGGGCAGCATTCCCCATTTTTCCTGGGCAGCATTCCCCATTTGCCCTGGGCAGCATTCCCCATTTTTCCTGGGCAGCATTCCCCATTTTTCCTGCGCAGCATTCCCCATTTGCCCTCCATGGCCCTTGGTTTGCTGCTGAAGCCACCCCATGGGTTTGTTCTGGGTCTTGCCAGACCTGAGAACATCCTCAGGGCTTGAGCCCTTCCAGCCCAGTGGCTTTGCTCCCAGGGGCAGTGGGAATGCTGCTGCAGGCTGCTGGGTGGGTGGGTGCCTGCTGTGGGCAGGATTCGTGCCCCCAAACACAAATCCATTCCTCTGGTGGGGAGGAACAGCTCAGCAGGGGTACCAGCAGCCCTGGCAGATAACAGGCCTCCAGAGAAAGAAGGAAAAGTGAGCAAATGAGCTCGTGTCTGATCTCAGCCTTCGAAGGTAGGAAGCAAAAATTTTGCTAGGGCAGAAAACATGAATCTGAGAATTTAGACTATCTCCTGCTCTTCCTTTAAATATCTCAAGGCATTTGCTACCAGCAAAGAGGATGAATCAGACTTTGTCTGCAGCTCATATAGGAAATGTTTGCAATGAACCAGGCACGGAAAGTGCCCAGGTTGCTACAATCTCTTACTAATACATTGCCTTGTAAGTCGGCAGCTTCTAAACATCAACATGCAAATTGTAGTGAAAATAGATGATTGCATTAAGTGAACTGTTTCTGGTGTCCAAGACTGGGAGACAGATCTGGCAACCCCAGAGGAAGGCACAACACCTGTCCCAGCACCAGAACTGGTACCGCAGTACTGAACCCAGGCGTACAGTCATTTTTAGGGAGGAATTCATGGAGGAACTAACATACAGCCGGTATCCTTGTGCTCTTGGTCTTTCAGCCTCAAAGCTTTTGGCCACTCTGTGGTTTCAGCCTATGCTGCAGCTGTACCCTGGCAGACTGCTGTGGTCACCTTGCAGTGAAAAAGCCACTCTTCCTGCATGAGGAACAGCTGAGCCCTCTGGGCTGGACATGCCAGCCGCACCGAGCCCCCACGCAAGCACAGAGCTGGTGGCAGCTCCAAGGCCGTGTCCCCAGCTGTCCCCACACCTGAGGGAGCACTAATGGGAACTGCAGCGAGGGGCACAGACCCCTGAGCGGGGTGTAGCTGCAGAACAGAGGCAGAGCAGCTGTGGAAGCAGCAGGAATCGCGGGCAGCGGCACTGACTGCTGGCGAGCAGAGGTGGAAGGGCCGGGCAGGGCACAGGGCTCGCACGCTGTGGGACGGGAAGAGCTTTACCTGCTCCGCTGAGGCCGCAGGCGGGCTGGCTCCTCAGAGAGGCCGCAGGGCGTCCCGGCAGGCAAGGGGATCCGTGCTGGCCGTGCTGTCCCGGGGCTGTCACAGCCCGGCGGGGCTGAACCCAGCAGTGAACTCGTGCGAAGAGCAGCGCTTCATTTATGCCCCGATTTCCTCGGGCTGGAGCCTCTGGTGCCCTCTGTTGTCCCGCCGCCGGCAGCCGAAAGCTCCACCGTCAGCCCTTCCGCCCATCCCCGCCTCGCCTCACACAGCCCGGCAATTAACATTTCATCTCTCCGGTCGTGGGAAAACAATTTCTGAGATAAAACCCATTTGTAATGGTTGCAAATTGCCCGTCTGGCAGCAGAAGGTTCCCCGGGGAGGCTGGGCAGCCTGTGCTGCGGTGGCAGAGGGTGCCCGGGCGGGACAGGGATATTTCCGAGGGAACAGCGAGCCCAGGGACCAGAGCGCTGTTGTCACCTGCACGGTGACAAGTGTAACGGGCCAGCTCACCCTCTGCACAGCAGCCAGGAGTGTAACTCTGACCATCAGCACCGCTGAGAAGCCGGGTAATGACAGTCACTGCCACCAGTGCGGCACTGAGGTGCTGGCACCTTTGGGAGCATGGTTAGGAGCTGCCCGCTGGTGTTTCACAGACATTTGGATGGGTTTTGCTGCCCACTGGGTAGAGCAGTTGCAATCCCGTCTCTGTGAGCCAGCTGACAGGAGCCAGACTGACTCCCTCAGGATTTGTCCCATTCATTCTTGTCTTTGGAGCTGTCATGGTTTGACAAATGCCAGGCACCCATGAGAGCTGCTCACTCACCCTCCCGTGCCACAGCTGGGCAGAGGAGAGGAAAATTTGACAAAGGGTTCCTAAATTGAGGTAAAGATTGGGAGAAAACACTCCAAGGGCAACAGGCTCATCTTAGAGATACAAAGTGAGTTTATTACTAAGAAAATCAGAGGAGGATAATAAGTAAAGTAAGCACTTAAAACACCTTTTCTTCTCCCAACCCCTCCTTCCTTCCCACTGACAGCACAGGGAGACAGGGCGTGGGGGTTTTGGTCAGTTCATCACCAAGATTTTCTTCTGCTGCTCTGGGAGAGGAGTGTCTGTGAGACCATTGGAGAGACAGCTCTCTGTGAACTTCTCCAGAGTTGAGTCCACTTTCAAGCAGCAGTCCTCCCAAAATTCCTGCTATGTGAGTCCCTCCCAAAACTGCTGCAGTGTGGATCACTCATCCACAGGGTGCAGTCCTCCGAGGACAGGCTGCTCCAGCCTGGGAGCAGGGCCCCCCTCTCCTCTGAGTCTCCCACTGGAGCACAGCCTCCTCCAGGCATCTACCTGCTCCAGCATGGGCACCTTCCCCCTGGGCTGTGGGTGGATCTCTGCATCCCCCGTGGATCCCACAGGCTGTGGGTGGATCTCTGCATCCCCCGTGGATCCCCAGGGGCTGCAGGAGCACAGCTTTCTCATCATGCTCTCACCATGGCTGCAGAGGAATCTTAGCTCTGGCCCCTAGAGCATCTCCTGCTCCTCCTTCCCCACTGACCTTGGTGTCTCTATGTTTCCCTCACATGTTCTTACCTTCTTCTCTTCTCTGGCTAGAAAAAGCTGTGCCCCCCTTTATTTTGATTTTCTTGAAGCTGTTACTACAGAGGTGTTACCAACCTCTCTCATTGGCCCAGCCTTGGCCAGCAGCATATCCATCCTCAGAGCCATCAGGCACTGGCTCTGCCAGACACAGTGGAAGCTTCCAGCAGCTTCTCATGGGAGCCACCTTTGTGGACCCCCTGCTACCAAAAGCCAGGCCCTGTAAAACCAACAGAGGAGCTCATGCTCTCAAAGGTGAAAGCAGCAGATGGGGCATCAGCTGTGGGCTGACTGAGGGCAGGTGTAGGTCACAGGGGAAGATGTGTTTGTGGGCAGGAAAGACTCCCCCACACTGTCTGGCGGAACACTCTGAGTATTGCTGGGCAAAGCTCAGCGCCGTTTTGGAGGTTTTTTAGCATTCAGAAAGAAAAAAGCCCAGTTCTAAGAAGCATTTATCCACTTCCTCTCTCCCCTGACTTTTCAAGCTGCTGATTCGTGGAAAAACACACATCCGTGATGGAAATGTTAGGGGCGTCAGTGTGGGCAGGCTGTGGAAACCCAGCAGGAGTGGGCTACTGTGAGCCTGAGCTGTGGTGGCCCTGGGGGTCAGCCTGGTGCCACAGCACAAACAGGGCAGGGCAGTGCGAGGGTGGCAAGTGCCGGGGCAGCAGTGAAAGGCTTTCAGTGCATGGGAGGAACGGCCCTGCAGGGATGGCTGCTCTAAGGAGCTGCCTCTAGGCCAGGGCTCACAGGGCAGCCGGAGGGCAGGAGAACTCAGCTCTGCAATCCGGACTTTGTGCCTTTATGGCATTGAACAAGTATTGCTTCCATCCCAAAAGTGCTCCTTCACACCTGTCTGACCTGTTGAGTTGAAGGGGAAGGAGGTCAGGACAGCCTAGGCTGTTTTGTAGGGACATGTACTTAATAATATGCCAGAACCATCTGAACAGCCACCCAGCCCAGGCTGCCAAAGGTATGGGATGAATATAAACTGAATTAGTTTAATAATGGAAACAACCTGAAATACACAATGAGGTGCAATGTGATATACACATTTGTACATGTTGGCAAGAAGGATCGATAGATTTTAGCTGCAGAAGGAACTAAAAGAGGCTCACCTGTGTTCCTGTAACAGTAACAAGTAGGTGCTGCAGGGTGGAATGGAGGCATGTTAACAACAACTGATTACATACACATTTTTACACATCTCTGTGACCTGTTTGTTTAATGGAAACATAGAGTATAAATTTCTAAACCTAAAAAAGAACTTGCTAGATAAAAAGAGAAATACTCATCCCAATAGCCTTGAAGCTGTATTTCCTCTTTATGTTGCAGATGTTGGGTTTTGTTCCCCTTTTTCCTTTAGCATGTCTGTATCTGCAAGGGGTGGGTTGCCTCTGCTTGTTGAGTGCTGGCTTTGGGCTGTAAAAAGGCTTCCTGGAACTCCCTGGTGACAAAGTAGTAACAGACACTATCGAGGCAGCAGTTGGACGTGGCAATGCACCTCATCACGGAGGAGAAGTTCTTCATGACACAGAACAGGAAACAGGTAGCTCCAACACTCTCCATGATGAACCTGGCAAGCAGTCCAAGGTAGGCTGGCAGAAAACATATCAGAAATACGATCAGATTTGCATAAATAATGTGTACGGCTTTCTGGATCGATTTCTCCTCCGGTGAATTCGTGTTCAGATGTTTCTTGAGGTTCCTGATGACTTCTGTGGAGCAGAAGGTCAAGATTGCTAATGGGAGAGTGAAAACGAAGAAAATGGCCAGTAGGCTGAGAGCAGCAGGCGTGGGGGTGTAGGTCTGGAAGCAGAGAGCTGCGTGTCGGTGCCAGAGCTGGATGGTGGCACTGACTATCACCAAGGCCCACAGGAGCCCGCAGAGGAGGGCAGCCTTTGGCGGGGACCTGAATGCCCTGGCTTTCAAAGGGTGCTTTATGGCAATGTATCGATCAATGGAGATGAAGGAAATGATGTAGATGCTCACTAACATGTTGATAAAATACATTGTCTCTGTAAACTGGCAGAGCTCCCCTCGGGCTGACTTATTCCAGAGCAAGTAAACCATGGAAGGCAAGGTGCAGATGACAGAGAAATCTGCAAAGACTAAATTCATTACATACACCCTGGTTTCTGTCCACTTCTTCATCTTGCAGGAGAACACCCAGAAGGCAAGGGTATTAAATAGTGCTCCAAAAAAGAAAATGAGGCTATACAGAGCAAATTCAATGAGGCGAACATGGGGATGCAGTTCTAGATTTGTGGTGTTGCAGTTGTTGGACACATTCATTGTCCCGATGTGCAGATGTTGTACGATGTTCTGAGACCTGAAATAGGAAAAGACATGGTAAGACCTCTTAGTAGCTATAAAAAAAAGCACATGTAAGTACATATGTCCTTGGTTAAAAATGTGAATTTGAACTTTACAGAGATGTCTTTCTCAGTCAGCCTGTGTCATCCTTTGGCATCCTTTGTCAAGCTTTGTTTATGTCCACTCAGTTTATGAGTGTCTCAGGGTACATTTTCAGGAGGACATAGCACACAGCCTTTATTAAATAGGGAGATCTTGAAGTGTGTGAGGTCAGGAGGCAACATTGCACTCAGAAGAGCCCCCACAGGTAGTGGGCACATCCTATGACAATGTGAACACTAATTCCTTAAGCCAGCCTGTGCAGATGATGTAAAATTACTCTTAGCTTGGTGTTGAGCTAGTCAGGGATTGCAGCAACCAAAACTAAAGCTCAACACAACCCGTGAGCAAAAGCTGTTCTGTCAGTTCTACTGGTTTTGGCTTCAGACTGGGGGTGAAGGGGTGGGAGTATGTAGCAAATGTCACTTGATAGAAACCCTCGTGCTCTGGCTCTAGCTGGGAAGTTTTGGAGCCTTTGCACTGCCTTGTGCACCTGGAGCAGCTCCTCGAAGCTGAGGAAAACAGCTGAATCTGCATTCCTGCTCTCCCAAGGAGACCCTAAAGGAGAAAGTGAGGTATGCTGCTCTCCCCCTCACCAGGAGAGGAATGGGGATGGAAGGATTAGCCTGATTTTAACTCCATTTGTTCCAGGAGAGAGTAGGAGTCTGCAGATCCCTACTTCTGCAAAGCAGAAGGCTGCATCTGGAAGAGGGAACACCACTGCAGAACAGGGAGCTTGCTGTTAAGGGCTGAAATTAGATCGCTCCTGCTCCAGGCAGGCAGGCAGCCACCCTCAGAAATCCATGTTGTGAGTAGTAGCTGTTGAGCCTCTGTCACACTAGCTGCAAGATGCTTTGCAGGAGTATTAGTTGTGTGAAGAGTGTGAGTTCATGGGCTGATAAAAATCATCTTTCAGCAGAGCCCTTCCTGTGCAAAGTGGTTTCATGTGGACAAGCACATGGAAAAATTCTCAGTATCTGTCACTTCTGCTTGCTTCTAAATTCACTTCAGAAAAAAACTAACAAACAAACCCCTTTCAATGTAAAATAAGTTTTTTACAGAGTGAAGTGGGGAGGGATCTGGTGAAATCTTGCAGCTTTCAGAGACCTGGGAAGGGACACCACCTCTGCCTTGGTTGAGCAGTTATTTGCCTCCACCAGCAATGCAGACCTTGTGGCCAGTGGGTGAGGGGGCACTGCCTGCAAATCAGAATTCAGACCTGAAGTGACTGAAAAATACACAAATAACTCAGTTTCTGGAGGGATGTGTAAGTGTCTTGGACAATAGCAGACTAATGGAACACAGGCACTGCTGCACAGTTCTTGTATGCTCAGGCCTGGCTTTCCCAACAGAGGCTTGCTGCTCACTGGCTGCACCCTGCAGGGAAGGGGACACTTGTCCCCTCAGGAAAACCTCTCTGCATGGTGGACAGTAGCAGCAGGGAACTGTCACTGGTTATGGCACAAGGCCGAAGTCTGACAGCTGCCCAGGTTTCTTTTCACTGCCATGAGATGCAGTGCTGGTCTGCAGTGCCTGCAGCAGCCTCTGCAGAGGTGCAGCACAGGCAAACCACACTGCTGGGCTCTGCAGCATCAAAGGGCTCTGGCCAGCGCTGCCTTTGGAGCTGCAGACCTGGCCCAGTGCAGTTCCCAGCAGCAGGGCTCACAAGTGCTCCAGGCCACAGGGCAGTCCAGAGGCTGGGAGGAGGATGGAGAAAAGGAGTAGAGGGTTTAAAGCAGTCCAAAAAGCACTGATATGGTATGAATGAGAAAAAAAAAAAAAACAAAACAAAACCAAAAAACCCCAAAATTTAACTTGACTAGCTAGCATATCCTGTGGCTGCTGAAAATGCTTCATGTGGGGCAGATGAAACGTCTGCAGCTTCAGAGGGGCTAAACAGCAACTTGCAGCTGTGACAAAAGGATGGAGACAACTGTGAAACAGCATCTTGCTGCTGCTGGAAGACCAGCAATAGGCTGGGGCTCAACAGACAAGGTCACCAGTACTGTGTAGGGTGTCCTGCTGTCCCCACCATAGGCTGGGGAGAGCTGGTCAGCAGCTGTCCCCCAGCCCAGAAGCTGGTGACCATCTGGGGAGGAAGGCCTGGGCTGGGTTTGTTTCCTCCAGGAGCTCAGGAAGCAGGAGGCTTCTGCCAGACCCTGAACAGAGAGGCTGGAGGAAGAGATGCAAGGCAGAGGCTGTAGGCACAGGGGGTGTTGTAGCAGCCCAGTGGCTGCATCCAATGTTTTTTTTTTCTAGCAGAAAAGCAGCTGCACTGAAGGGGGAGTCTTGCATGAAAAATTCTTCTCCTTCCTTCTGGGAGAGCTTAAAAGTGGGCAGGCACCAAGGGGGCCTGTGTGTGGGCAAGAGGCAACATGGCACTGAGAAGACCCCATAGGCACATCCTGTGACAATGTGAACACTAATTCCTTAAGCCAGCCTGTGCAGATGATGTAAAATTACTCTTAGCTTGGTGTTGAGCTAGTCAGGGATTGCAGCAACCAAAACTAAAGCTCAACACAACCCGTGAGCAAAAGCTGTTCTGTCAGTTCTCCTGGTTTTGGCTTCAGATTGGGGGTGAAGGACTGGGAGTGCTGAAGGGTTAATATGGTGTGTGAAATAAAGGGTGAATATGGTGGATGAAGTGGCTTAAGGACAGCATGGGAGCCCTGGCGGGTGAGGGAAGGAACTGAGCAGAAGGAGAGCAAGAAGGAAAATGGGGGTGAAGTCAGGTACAGCACAGCATCTTGTGCATCAGCTGCCCTCAGACCTGCCACCTCCATGGCAACAGCCCTGACTGTCACCAACAGTCCTAACAATGGAATGGGTGGCTCTCAGCGAATACTCAGTGAAGATGCAGCACAGGTGTGAGAACAGACCTGGGCAGGGCAGTACCTCCCAGAGGTTTTAATGTACCCACAGCACTGCTGGCCTGCCCTGGGTGGGAGCTGGCCAGAAAGAGTGAGCAGCAAACTGTCCCCATGGCAGAGAAGACCCAGGTGAGGATCCTGCCATGGTACTGCAGTGAGGAGCTTTCCCTCTCTGTTTCCAAATAGCATAAAGAAATCTGCAAACTGCCTGCTCCAGCCTTGCTGCTGTTGTTCACACCTCTCTCAAATGTAGGGATCTAAGGCATAGCAGTTTGTTCTCTTCTTTTTTGAACCGTGTGTTCTTTCAGGCTCATCTATCACTGCATCCCTTGAAAACTGTAATGTGGTCATCTTAACTATGATCTGCTTTGATGGATGCTGGAAGGAGTTCTCTTAGAATCACTCATTTCCCATATTGGGATGAATTAACTTCCAGTTCTCAGCTGCTGTGATATTCCAGGTAAAGTACCCAGAGAATACCTTGGAGTAAGAAACAGAAACTGGAAGGCTCAGAGATCACAGCCCACCCCAGGGACTCCTGCCTCGCAGGGCCCAGCAGAAACCACACTCAAAGCCTCCTCTGCCTCCCCCCAGGCACAGCAGGACCACGCTCAGCAGTTCTCAGACAGCAAGAGAGGAGGAAACAAAGTGATGTTACCTGCAGATTTAACGTGCCAGAGTCAGCAGCAGGTGCCACCCGAGGCAGGGCACGCGGGCTCTGTGCAGCCACACAGCCCGGGCAGGACGAGCGGGGCTGGGCACAGGCTGCCTGAGCAGGGCAGGGGCCTGGCACCAGCAGCTCCCTGGTACTTGAGGGTTTCCATAGCACCTCCTCCTGCTGCGTAAGAGCAGATTTCACATCAGTTAGGTTTCAAATGCCAACCTTCTGGCCAAATCGATGGTGGCACTACTTTACAGTGAGCTCTGGTGCCTCACCACTCTGCAGTTGCTGAACGGGGGTGTTCTATGGCTAACAGAGATGTTCAGCAAGTGGGGATTTGAAATGCCCACTAGTGCTGAAGTCTAAGCTAAGTAAACCAGGAACGTGCAATACCTGTCTGGATGGCCCCATGCAGCTCATGGTACACCTGAGTGTTGAGCTGAGTTGTGCTTGCACAGCTCTGGGCATGGAGGTGGGCACAGGGAGCAGCTTGGCACGTAGTGTAGGAAAGCCTTCCCAGCCCTCCTCAAAGGCTGCACTCAAATGGTGCCTTGGGTTGGATTTGGTGCCTGGGGCATGGATGGAGCAGGAGAGGGTCATGATGGGGCTGGCATTAGGGCTCTGGCCTGCAGCCCTGTTTGAGCACAGGTACAGCCAAACCATCCGGGGCTTCGTCTGGCACCTAAGCCAAGGCCTCAGCATCTCACATGGGTGGCAAAGAGCCTCACTTGTCAAAGTCTGCATTAACAGCAGTGGAGGGGGCAGGCAGAGCTGTAAGTCCCAAAGGGCTCAGTAATGGGCCGTTAATTGGTGTCAGTAATCAGCTGCTAGTGGGGACTGCTTCACTGCACTCAGCCTTGGCACGTGGCCAGCTGTTGCACTGCTGTGTTGCAGGGATGCACTGGTGGTTGGCTGTTCTTCAATCAGCACGATGGGTGCTGTGCTGGCTGGGGGAGCTGTGAGAGAAAGGAGGAAGCTGGCTGCAGCTCGGGCTCTCGGGCACTGCCGAGGTGAGTGAAGGGTGGCAGGATGCCCGCAGGTGCCTGGGTCAGGAGCACTGGGTGGCACCAGGCAAAGGAAGCGCTGCAGCCCAGCTGCCAAACGGGGCCGTGCAGGGCAGAGCTGCAGGAACAGGATCCCGAAGATAAGGCCCACCACAAGGCTTCTGCAGCTCGCAGCCATCCCATAACCACAGAGATGTGCGTGCTGATCACAGCCCTCTGGAGGCAAACAGGCATCCAAAGTCCTGGGTGTGCCCATCATGGGAGGAACAGCCAGTGTGCAAGGCAGGAGCCACGTCAGATATCTCAGAACCACAGGCTGATAAGACCCTTGGATAGCATCTGGCACTTGTAAGGTGCTGTGGAGGAGGGGGGCAGGGAAGCAGGGTGACATGAAATGCTGCAGTGGCTATTTGGGTCACAGTGTGAAAGGGACAGGAGGGTCACTGCAGATGTTCAGGGACAGGAAAGACCTGTGTGAAGACAGCCACAAAGCAAAGGTGGTGGGAGCTGTTTGCCTGTGGTAGCTGCAGCTGCATTCCCCAGAGAGACTGATGCTTGAGTTATTTTTGAGTTAGAGCCCATGGTGATGGCCTTGTTCACAACCACTGAGGCTGGAAGGAACCTCCTTCCACCAAAAAGAGGTTTCCACCAACCCTTTGCTCAGAGCCATTGTCTGAGGCCGTGTCCAGTTTGGTTCTGAATAGTTTGAAGGATAGCTCCACACATTCTCTGGGCAACCTGTTCTAGTGCTTGATCATTCTGAGACTAAACTTTTTTATGTTTTAACAGACTTTCCTATATTTCAGTCTGTGCCTTTTGCCTCTTGCCCCATTCTGAGACTAAACTTTTTTTTTGTTTAAACAGACTTTCCTATATTTCAGTCTGTGCCTTTTGCCTCTTGCCCTCTCAGCAGTGTCAGGGAGAGGGCAGGAGGCAAAAGGCACAAACTGAAATATAGGAAAGTCTGTTTAAACAAAAAAAAAGTTTACTCCCTGCCACTGGGTGTTTATATACATGGATCAGATCCTTGAGAGACAGGCTGAATAGTCCCAGCTCTTTCAGCCTCTCCTCATACAAGAGATATTCCAGTCCCTTAATCATCTTTCTCTAGATCTGCTCCAGTAAGTCCAGGTCTTTCCTGTACTGGGTACAGTCTCAGCAGTGCTGGGCAGAGGAGCAGGATTCACCTCCCCTGAGCTGCTGGCAGTGCTCATTCCCAAGCAGCCCCAGCTGCTGTTCCCTCTCCCTGCTGCTGTGCACACTGCTGGCTCTCCATCAGCTTTATTTCCTCCTGGAGCCCAGGTTCTGCTCTGCCAGGCTGCTTTCCAGGGGTCAGCCCAGCCTGCCCAAGGGTATGGAGTCATTCCTCCTCAGCTGAAGGAATCGCAGGGACTGACTGTCCTGCAGCTCTCTGGATGCTCTTTCCTGCCTTTCCTGGAGGGTGACAATTGAGGGACACAGCAGTGTTGAAGGGAAGAGCACACCACGAGTGTCAGCTCACTGCACGCCTGGCTGGTAAAATGTGAGGAGATGAGCACCACTGGAAAATTACTTTGTGCCCACGATCTGCAGGGGCTTCAGTTGATGGTGGGGACTAAAAACTGCCGGTGTCAGAAGGAGATGGAGCACAGCCTGTGGAGTTCCAGCTGATGTGGAGGTGGTGATTTGGGAAAGAGCCCCAAAGAGGGGTGTAAACTAGGAGGGTGAGGTGGCTGGGGAGAGAAGACCATGGATATGGGACAGGGATGGATACAGGCTGGCCAGACTGTCTGGACTGATGAGCTCCACCACTGGAAGGGGCCAGGGAACACAGAGACATGGAGCAGTGGACCTCTGGAATGGTGGCAGCCAAGCAGCACTGGGAAAAGTCAGGCTGTGACAGTGGCACCTGCCTGCAGCAGTGTCCAGCCTGGACAGAAGGCTTCAGTCCCCCATGGAAGACAGGAGAAGGCTGCTCATGCTGGGTCTGCCTGAGCACCTGGCATTTTTTACCTCTCTTCTACCAAATCTCAAGATTCTAAACTGGTACAGATTACATCTGTTTGTGTTTGCTAAAATACAGTATACTAAGCAGGACTAAACAAAGTGGGTTTGGTTGTGGTGTGAAACGGGCAACATCTACATGGGATGCTGCAAACCTTCACAAGCCAGCCTGGGCAACCTTTGAAGGTACCACCTTTGCCGTGACAGCAAGGCAAAAACACTCTTAAAATTGGTTTGGGTTTTTTTCCCCTTCCCCTCCTTCAGTCACGAACAACTCTTTCCTATGTAATCACAGTTTGAAAGGTCACTTCGTTATGCAATCCTTTCAGTTTGGAAGGTCTTCACCTTCATTCATATTCCAAATTCAAAGCTTAATTTATTTACAGTTTACTTTCATAAGGATGGCAGTATTTGCACAGCCAGCTATGCTTTGTTCAGGGTGGGCTGCAGCAATACCCACCTGTACAATGCTGTACAAATACATCTCACAGGTTTGGAATTATTTTATATATGACCAGGCCATAATGGACCAAGTCCTCAGTGCTCTTCAGACTGCACTCCAGCCTATCCAGACTTGTTATGTTGATGCTAAAGACTCACATCACTGATTTCCTGAGATGAAAAACTCCCTTTTGCTCTCTCTCTCTCTCTCTCTCCCCCCCCCCTCTAAGAATAATTTTGTTTCTGAGTGCCCTGTGTTTGAGTGAAGACATCTAATGCTTCAAGAGCTCCACCAGTTTTTTTTCATTACTCTCCCTCAACCATAAAACACTAAGAAAAAAAAAAAAAAAAGAAAGAAAGGAGTTTGCTAATGGAAAGCAACAGAAGAGAGTGGAAGTAGGTCTGGTAATTGTAACCCATGCTCTGACCTTGTCTAGTCCCAGGAGAGCAAATCAATTTATCCTTGGCTTTCACCAGAAGTCTGTAATTTGCCTGTAGTTATCCTCCCCGCTTCTGCACTTGGACAGAGGCACTTTCAGGAGAAGCATCACTCCTGCAATGTAGTACTTATGAGTGTTAGAGGCTTTTGCTTATGCTTTTGGACTTGCCTATACAACTGCTTTGCTCTCAGTATTCTAGGCATTACTAGCACAGGCTAGGCTGAAATGTGTGTATGCTGGTTTCCTGAAATAAAAGTGTTCCTAAAACTCACTGGATTCATCACCCTTCTTCCTCCTGCTTATTTTTCTAAACCCCGTTCCATTTGGTTTTTCATATATGTGGATGAGAATGATGTGGATAAGCAGTTTAGCTCAGAGGTTTTTAAACTGGGAAACTTTTGCTGCAGGAGGCAGGACAGCCATCAGAGGGTACAGGGAGGGAGAGTGCTCCATAAACATCCACTTTTCAGAAGGAAAATTACCCCATCAGTTAAGAACTAGAAATAGCCTGGCAGAGGAGAGGTGATAAATTAGATTCCAGTTGGTCTCACCTCATTTGGAAAGGTGATGATGAGTCTGTACCAAAAATTCCCAGTTACA